TCTCAGAGCAGCTTCTGGCAGCAGGCCGGGGCAGAAGATAAGGTCTCTTTAGCTCATCACCTGTCTTTGATTTCTCAGCTGTGCCCTTCAAGGAAGATGAGTGGTTCCACACCCCAGTGTCATGGTTCTCAGAGCAGCTTCTGGCAGCAGGCCGGGGCAGAAGATAAGGTCTCTTTAGCTCATCACCTGTCTTTGATTTCTCAGCTGTGCCCTTCAAGGAAGATGAGTGGTTCCACACCCCAGTGTCATGGTCGCAGCCAGAGTGCCTCCTCCAATGGTGTGTTCGTGTCCCCCAGCACCCGGCGGCAGCCTCTCAGTGCCTCCAACACTCCGGTGCTTGACAGCTTTCTGGGGAATGACGATGAACAGGAAAGGAAGCAGCGACGACGCTCCCGGGCCATTGATCTGCATCTCAGCAGCAATGAGTCACCCCTCTCTGTGAAGTCCATTTCCAACAGGTCAGATCAGTGACAGGCAAATTGCAGCCCATTAGGGTTCTAGGTGTGGTCCACCAGACATTTGGTTTACCGTAGCCCATGCACAGAGTTGCCAGATTCTGCTGGTGTCCATCGGGATAGTTTTTTTTTTTTCCTGCCTGTATTACAAAAGTGACACACACATAGAGGGGTAGGCGTGCCTGAAGTGAGGTGCGTACTGATTGTACACAACATTGTGAAAACTGTGCTCTTCCACTGCATCCATCAAAGTGCTGCTGTGGTGCAATTGGTACACCCCACAAATTCTAGGTACGCAACTACCGTTAACAAAACTACCTTATCCTTGGATACTGTCTTGGTTACGGCCAGGGCTCGACAAATCTGCTTATCTACTCGCCCATGGCGAGTGGATTTCAGCCGGTCGCCCCGTTCACCGGTGGTGCGTGCATGCGCAGTGCGGGTCTGGCGCATGTGCGGGGCTGGTGAGTGGATTTTCGCCATGCTTGTTGAGCCCTGGTTAACGACAATCTTGAGGTCCATTCATGCAGCCTACTCACTAGTCCAGGTTGCCCATGTGAAGCAGGTCTGTAAAAGTTTGATGATTGCATGCAGGATATGCCCTGGTCTGGGATAGTACCAGCGGAGGTGGGTAAATATGCTGGTAGAGTTGTGCTAAAGGCCAGGACTCAAGGATAAGAAGGCATTTCTGAGTGCATAACGTGTGTGTTTTATACCTGCTCTCTTGTGCCTTGCAGTTCAGGGGGAAGCTTTGCTCTCTAAAGCAGAGGTTTTTGCTTGTTTCTTTAGGTCAGCTGAGATTTCTGTACCTGTGATCCCGAAATTGACAAACACCCAGATTTCAGATCACTATTCCACCTGCATCAAGCTGTCAACAGAGAATGTGAGTGAAAATAGTTCTGCATGTAGAACAGCAAGCTAGCTTTGAAAAAAGTTGGTTCTAAGGTGGGGCAGTTCTACACGTGCAGCTCATACCTAAACACAAATCTGAAAGAGGTGGCGTAGCCTGCTGGGGATGGTGATGTTTGAGGCTCTTATGCATATGCTACAGCAGGAACCGGCAATAATTTTTGATGGGCCGCTCCAAGAATTTGGTAAGTGGTCAAAGGGCTGCACACTTCTGTGTTAATGGAGGAGGTGCTGGGGCTGGGATGGAGGTTGGGTGCAGAAGTTGTGAACAAGATGTGAACATGTTGGAAAGAATTCAGAGGAGGGAAACAGAAATGAAAAGGGTTAGAAAACCTGCCCTGAGAGGAAAGGTTAAAATACGTGAGCCTGTTTAGTTTTGAGAAATAGAAGCTGTGTAGGTACCTGCCAACAGTCTTCAAATATGTGATTGACTGTTCTAAGGAGGACTAGTCTCCATGTTGCCTGGAGATAGGCCAAGAAGTCTTGGGGGATTTAGGTTAGATTTTAGGAAAAGTTTTCTAACAGCTTTGTCTACACTGTGCTGCTTTTTAGCAACAAGGTTGTGTCGACACAGGCCTGTTGTTAAGTTGGGCAGTGTAAACGCTGTTTGTTAGTGCTTTTGCTAATGAAATACTTCTACCCCTCTCAAATGGCGACAAGAGTGACATTTGCACTTGATGCAGCAAACTGTGAACAACAAAACTACTGTTGTTTAATTGCAATTGTAGACATGACCTTACTCTGAGGGAAAGTTAGGCTCTGGAATAGTCTTCCAGGGATGACTGTGGGATCCCCATCATTAGAGGTCTTTAAGAAATGATTAGATGGACACCTGTCAGGAGTGGTCTAGGTTTACTTGATCCTGCCTCAGCCGGGGGACAGAGGATGAACTTAGTGACTCCTAGAGGTCCCTTCCAATCATTATTGTGAACCTGGGAAGCAGTGACTCTGCAAAAGTCTTGGAGGTCGTGGCATATAATCAGCTGAACATGAGCTCCCAGTATGATGCTGAGGCCAAAAGGTCTAATGCAATCCTTGGAGGGATAAACTGGGGAATACTGAGTAGGAACAGAGAGGATATTTAACTTCTGTATTTGGCAGCAGTACAGTAACTATTGAAATACTATGCCCAGTTCTGACAATTCAGGAAGGGTGTAGACCCATGGTCACCAACCCAGGAAGGGTGTAGACCTATGGTCACCAACCCGTCGATGGGGAGGGCTCGACCAGTTGATTGCGAGGAGTTTGGGACCCCAGAAATGGGATAATAGAAGGCTTTTCAGTCTGACAGAGAGAACAAGAGCCAGTGGCTGGAAGTGGGAGTTAGACAAGATCAGACTCTAAATAGGCACAAATTGTTAACCGTGAGGAGAGCTCACCATGAGTGGTCATGGTGGAGTCCCACGCGTTGGGAAATTTAATTAAATAATGTTTGGATATTTTTCTAAAATATACCTTCTAGTTCAAACAGGATAGGATTGTGGGAAGTTCTTTGGCCTGTGCTATGCAGGAGCTCAGCCTAGATGTTGGCAATAACTTATAATTGATGAACTCTGAAGGTGTAGTCTGCATTCTTTATGCCTAGATGTGTAAACTTAGCCTTTGGCTGCATTACAACAGTGTGTTTTAAATGGGCACAGTTTGCCCAGGGATACAGATCACTGTGACTCCTGTCATGCGTAGTATTTACCATTCTGCTGATCTTTGTGCTAGCCTCAGATTTTAACAGCTGAGATTTATGTATTTGTGTGTGGATCACTGATGACAATGCTGAACAGTGTCAGGCCTTGAACTGCTCCCCAAAGAAGAGATTTCCCCTGTCCCCCCAAAAAGAGTTGCTCATGTAACTGAATTGAGGGACATGACTTTCCAAAGCTAAAGGTTGACTTATGTGCTCTGTTTCAGAGAATCACCACGAAGAATGCATTTGGCCTGCACCTCATAGACTACATGGCCGAGATACTCAAACAGAAGGACTCCGAACTGACCAATTTCAAGGTGAGGGGGGTGGCTGCTGCCAACTTGGCACAATGGTCTGTCTCTTCCTCTCTGCTTCAGCGTCCTCCAGTGGGCACAGCCAGGTGGATGAGAACCCCTCTGCTGGCCCTGATTAGAAGAGCAGCTAGAAATGACTGGATAGTAAGTAACCCCAAATAGTCTTCAATAGGGCCAGTTTCCCTGAGACTTCACTGAAGTTCTGCATTGGTATAATTGAGCAGAATTTAGCCCATAGAAACTATGTAAAAGATAAGATAGGCAAGAGTATTGACATCTTCATTCAGCAGAGGATTCTGTTAGGCTTGGCGAAAGAAGAGCCTGCACAGAAGAGTTTATAATTCCACTTCAGCCAAGGAGGAATTCATGTCCAAAACATTGTCTCTGTGCCTCAGGGACCTCTTGTTGCCAAATTAGAGAGAGATTACCAAGGATTACAGAGATCCCCTGAATCTGGCCTTTACATATTTGTTTGCCACAGACTGCCACATAGATCTCAACTGAAACTTGTCACCCTAGTGGTCATAATCCTTGTGAAACGTGCACAGATAACCAGTGAGGATCGATGTGTGTATACTCAAAATAATGTGCTCAAGATCTGTTTGAGTTAGGGCTGCTCATCAGAAGGTAGTAATTGAGTTTCTTTCAAACAGGAGACACTTCTCTACCTCTCAGGCTGCAGAGAGTCACAAAGGGATCTCACAAAACTGGGTGACTAGGCAACAAAATGGCAGATGAAATTCCATGTTGATAAATGCGAAGTACTGCACCTGGGCAAATATCTAACTATGCATACAAACTGATGGGTACTAAATTAGCTTACCACTCAAGATCTTAGTCATTGTGGACAGTTTTCTAAACGTCAACTCAATCTGCAGAGGCAGTAAAAATATTAGGAAAGGGATACATATATCCTAACATTAATTAATTAGTTAATATCCTAATGCCTCTGTATAATTCCATTGAACACCCACACCTTGAATCCTCCATGCAGTTCTGGTCACCCCTTCTCCAAAAAGGTATATTAGAATTGAGAAATATGAAGAGAAGGGCAACAACAATTGTTAGGAATATGGAAAAGTTGCCGTATGAGGAGAAATTAAAAAGATAGGGACTACTCAGATTGGAAAAGACATGACCAAGAGGTGGTATGATAACGATCTATAAAATCATGAATGGTGTAGAAATAGTGAATAAGAACATAAGAACGGCCGTACTGGGTCTGACCAAGGGTCCATCTAGCCCAGTATCCTGTCTGCCGACAGTGGCCAGCACCAGGTGCCCCAGAGAGGGTGGACTGAAGACAATGATCAAGCAATTTGTCTTCTGCCATCCCTCTCCAGCCTCTGACAAACAGAGGCCAAGGGCACCATTTTATCCCCTGGCTAATAGCCTTTTATGGACCTAACCTCCACGAAATTATCTAGCTTCTCTTTAAACTCTGTTATAGTCCTAGCCTTCACAGCCTCCTCTGGCAAGGAGTTCCACAGGTTGACTACACGCTGAGTGAAGAAGAACTTTCTTTTATTAGTTTTAAACATGCTACCCATTAATTTCATTTGGTGTCCTCTAGTTCTTCTATTTAGGGAACTAATAAATAACTTTCTTTATTGGCCCTCTCCACACCACTCATGATTTTATATACCTCTATCATGTCCCCCCTCAGTCTCCTCTTTTCTAAACTGAAAAAACCCAGTCGCTTTAACCTCTCCTCATATGGGACCCGTTCCAAACCCCTAATCATTTTAGTTGCCCTTTTCTGAACCCTTTCCAAAGCCAAAATATCTTTTTTAAGGTGAGGAGACCACATCTGTACACAGTATTCAAGATGTGGGCGTAGCATAGTTTTATACAGGGGCAGTAAGATAGTCTGGGTCTTATTTTCTATCCCTTTCTTAATAATTCCTAGCATCCTATTTGCCTTTTTGCCCGCCGCTGCACACTGTGTGGAAGTTTTCAGAGAACTGGCCACGATAACTCCAAGATCTCTTTCCTGATTTGTCGTAGCCAAATTAGCCCCCATCATACTGTACGTATAGTTGGGGTTATTTTTCCCGATGTGCATTACTTTACACTTATCCACATTAAATTTCATTTGCCATTTTGTTGCTCAATCACTCAGTTTGGTGAGATCTTCTTGGAGTCCCTCACAGTCTGCTTCTGTCTTGACTATCCTAAACAGTTTGGTGTCACTTGCAAACTTTACTACCTCATTGTTTACCCCTTTCTCCAGATCATTTATGAATAAGTTGTAAAGGATTGGTCCCAGGACTGACCCTTGGGGGACACCACCAGTTACCCCTCCCCAATCTGAAAATTTACCATTTATTCCTACCCTTTGTTTCCTGTCTTTTAACCAGTTCTCAATCCAAGAAAGGACCTTCCCTCTTATCCCATGGCCATGTAATTTACACAAGAGCCTTTGGTGAGGGACCTTGTCAAATGCTTTCTTCAAATCTAAGTGCACTATATCTACTGGATCCCCCTTGTCCACATGTTTGTTAACCCCTTCAAAGAACTCTAATAGATTAGTAAGACTGGATTTCCCTTTACAGAAACCATGTTGACTTTTGTCCAACAAATTATGTTCTTCTACATGCTTCACAATTTTATTCTTTTATGTAAGACCAGAACCAGGGGTCACCCAATGAAATTAATAGGTTTAAAATAAAAGTATTTCTTCACACCATGCACAGTCTGTGGCACAGGCTGCCAGATGATGTGAATGGCAAGAGTGACTGGATTCAGGAAGAATAAGATAAGTTCTTAAGAGGACAGGTCCATCAATGGCTGTTCACCAGGATGGGCAGGGATGCTAGTCCATGCTCTCAGAGCCCCTAAGCTTTGTTTAATAATTGCCCTGTTCTGTTAAATTCTCCTGAAGTGTCTTGTATTAACCACTGTCCGAAGCCAGGATGCTGGGCTGGGCGGACCATTGGTCTTATCCAAAATGGCCCTTCTGCTGTTGCCAGAGGCTGCTGGTGTTGAGGAACAGATACCTAGTAGACAAGAATTCCTTGTGGTACAGACTGCTGAGAAGCATCAACATCCCACACTTCTGCAATCTTTTCCAAGCTTTGGGTGGACTTAGAAAGCTGGTATTGGCTGAAGGGCACTACAGGCTAGAAAATTGTACAGCATAAGTACAAGTGAAACTGTCTCTGGCAGGCAGTGGTAATGTAATGGGATGGGAGAGGCACATGGAGAAGCCATTAATGAAACTTTCTGCAACAATGTAATAAAGCACATTCCAAACCAGTCTTTGAAATTAGGCACATTCCAACAACTTGGCCGTCCAATCTATTGCTCCCAGATAAAGAGAAGAGCCTAGAAACAGGTTGATAGCTTTCAGTTTGGCAATGACCCACATGTCAATAGAAGGGTTGTGAAATCTGCATTTCTTTCTTGCTTTGTCATTATGTTCTCTATCTCGCTAGTGTTTATCTGTATGGTCTGTGTCTGGTTTTTGTATTGTTTCTGTTTCCTGCATAATTAATGTTGTTGGGAGTAAACCAATTAGGCGGTGGGATATAATTGGTTATATCAGTGTTTCCCAATTGGTGCTCGTGGAACCCTGAGACCTGGCACTCCTGCGCCCCCTCTCAATGAGACAGAGCTTTTATTTTTTGTGGCAGGACTCGTGATTTTTTTAGTTTTTGCTTGATGAAATGCAGTGGGGGCTTTTTTTTTTTTTTTTTAAGGCAACCCTAGGGGTTCTGTGGCCAAAATTGGGAAACACTGGGTTAGATAATCACGTTGCAAAATGTTAGAATTCGTTTTAATTTCAGTAGAATGATTGGTTTTGGATAGCTGAAAATATTATACTAGCAGATGTGCCTGGCATTGCTCGGGTCTTTAACTGAAGGTCTGTGTGGTATGTTATTTTTTGTGGGAGGGGCGTTGTTTGTGTTTTGTTTTTGAAAAACAAATGAAAAATGTTCATGCTTTATTTCAATTGTTGTATTTTTCGAAAATGAAGGCTTGAGTGTGTTCAGGTGTGAGGAGGGGCAGGGAGTGAGTGGCTTAGGGCAGGGAGTTGGAAGGTGTGAGGGGGCTCAGGGCAGGGAGAGGAGGTGCAGGAGTCAGGGCAGGGGGCTAAGGACAAGGGGCTGGAGGTAGGGGTGGGGAGGGCTTACCAGGGCTTCCTGTGGCAGCAAGGGTGGTGCTGCTCCGGCAGCAACTCCTCTGAGGAAGCCAGGGCAATGCTTCCCTGCCAGTGGTCTCCCTCTGCAGGCTGTCTGCGGGGGGGAGGACCAAGTTCTGGAAGCTGCTGCCTCCACCAGCCCCCACTGGCAGCCTTCAGGTCGTCTGGGGGGGGGGACGGGTCTGGCCTCCCACCATGGTTTTTAGACTGTTGAGGTGGGGACGAGACTCTGGGGGCTGCCATCAGCCTCCTTCAGGCTGTGTGTGAAGTCGGAGGCACCAAACATGCCTGACCCCCTCTGCCCCCAGCAGCCCCTCCTCACAGCCTGCAGGCTATGGGGGGGAACCATGCTCCTGAGGCTGCCTGCCCCCTGCAGGCAGTCTGGGGAGGCAGGCTGCAGGTGCTGCCCCCCGTTCAGCGGCCCTCATTGCAGGCTGTCTGGGGGAGAGGTGAGGCTCTGGGGCCTCCATTGGCCCCCCTCTACCACCCTCACCCACAGTCTGCAGGCTCTCTGGGGGGATGAGGTTCCTGGGGCTGGCCCTGGCTTGCAGCATCCCCATCCCCATGCACAAAGCCTGCAGTATCTTGAGTGGGGGGAGGATCTGGGGGCTGTCCCGCACAGCCTACAGGCTGGGGGACCCAGGATCCAAAGGTTGCCCCTCCCCAGCAGCCCTCCCTGCAGGCTGTTTGGGGGGAAGCTAGGCTCTAGCGGCTCTCTCCAGCTGCTTCTGTCTGGGGGAGCCCAAGCTCCAGTTAGACCATTTCTTCAGTTTGTCCAGATCATTGTGAATTATAACCCTATCCTCCAAAGCACTTACAACCCCGCCCAGCTTGGGATCATCTGCAAACTTAATAAGCGTACTCTCTATGCCAATATCTACATCATTGATGAAGATATTGAACAGCACCGGTCCCAAAACTGACCCCTGAGTAACTCCATTTGTTATGCCCTTCCAGCATGACTGTAAGCCAGAAATGTCAAACATGCGGCCTGATCGAATTTTTTTGTGGCCCACAACTACATCTTTATAAATTATCTAAGTGCGGCCCGGTTACATTGTTTATAACAGGGGTGGCTAACCCGTGGCTTTCGAGCCACATGCGGCTCTTTGATTAAATAAATGCGGCTCCTGCTGGTTCTGAGCCGCACGCCCAGAGTGCTCACGGCCGACCACTGTGCACACATGTCCCAGCACCTGCTCACGGCAGGCCACTCTGTGCATGCACCCCAGTGCCTGGAGGGAGAAGCACAAGGCGGCAGCGGCTCTGGGACCCAGGCATTAGGTTAGAGCAGGACAGGAAGCTGGGGGGTGCCTGGCTCTGGAGAAGAGGAGGGAGATTGGGTTAGAGAGGAGGGGGAGTGCCTGGCTGGGGGAGCTCTGAGGAGGGGTTCAGGTACCAGGCCTAGGGGAGCTCTGAGGGGGGGTTCAGGTACCCGGCCTAGGGGAGCTCTGAGGGGGGGTTCATGTACCCGGCCTAGGGGAGCTCTGAGGGGGGGTTCAGGTACCAGGCCTAGGGGAGCTCTGAGGAGGGGTTCAGGTACCAGACCTAGGGGAGCTCTGAGGGGGGGTTCAGGTACCTGGCCTAGGGGAGCTCTGAGGAGGGGCTCAGGTACCAGGCCTAGGGGAGCTCTGAGGAGGGGTTCAGGTACCAGACCTAGGGGAGCTCTGAGGGGGGGTTCAGGTACCTGGCCTAGGGGAGCTCTGAGGAGGGGCTCAGGTACCAGGCCTAGGGGAGCTCTGAGGAGGGGTTCAGGTACCAGACCTAGGGGAGGAGGGCATTGGGTTACAGCGGGGGGGAGGGGGGGGGAGTTGACTTACCTTAAAATCAAAGTCTTCATGGATGCAGATAACAATTTTACACCTCAAATGACTATTATATTAAAACAAGACCTGAACAAATATTATAAAGTATACCTAAAACATAATCTATAATAAATATTTATGACTTTCCAATAGAAGTATGTTTTCTTTGGTGTAAAACAGATCCTTGCAGAACCCCACTTGTTATGCCCTTCCAGCATGACTGTAATCCATTAATAAGTACTCTCTGAGACTGATTATCCAGCCAGTTATGCGCGCACCTTATAGTAGCCCCATCTATGTTGTATTTCCCTAGTTTATTGATAAGAAGGTCATGTGAGATTATTCAATGTTTACTGAATTCTAGGTATACCATGTTCACCACTTCTCACTTATCCACTAGACCCGTTAGCCTATTTAAAAAAAAGCTATTAGATTGGTTTGACATGATTTGTTCTTTATAAATCCATGCTGGCTGTTACCTATCACCTTTTTGCTAGTCTCCAGTCACATAGGGAATATAAAAATAAACGTTCTTGCAGAAATTCAGTCCTGCAGCTCCCATTATGTGTATATTTTCTCTGACAGCACTTTGTCCCGATGAGATCAGATCATGTCTAATTGTGTGTTCTGTTTGGTCTGTTCACAGATAGCAGCCGGCACCCTGGATGCCAGCACAAAGATCTATGCGGTTAGAGTGGATGCTGTCCATGCAGATGTGTACAAAGTTCTTGGAGGGCTGGGCAAAGACTCAGCACCTCCAAGGGATGTGGACAGCCAGGATACAGGTGTGCTGCTTGCTGCTTTTATTTTGGTATATTAATCAAGGGAGACAGAACAGACTCTTCTGGTCATAATTCCAAATACCGGTGCAGAACCTTAGTACAGGCAGTCCCCGACTTATGTCGGATCCGCACTTACGAACGGGGCTTTTCTCGCCCCAGAGCTCACGGGCGGCGGGTCGCCACCCGTGTCCTCCGGGGCAAGAAAAGCTTCTCCCGGTCTCCCTGGTCTGCTGGGGGGGTCCAGCAAAGCCGCTGGACCCCCCCAGCAGACCAGGGACACCCGAGCAAAGCCGCCGCCTGGGCGGCTTTGCTCGT